CCCCCCCCCCGCCGCCGCAGCACCTCCCCCCACCCCAGCAGCAGCAGCTGCAGCAGCAGCAGCAGCAGCAGCAGCAGCAGACCTTGAGAAACCCGATGCAGACTTCGACGGAGTCGTTGGTGGGCTGCTGCAGCAGCAACTCGCAGAGCTGCAGCGCGAGCAGCTCGTGGGCTATTCGCTGATTCACCAAATGAGCGAAAAACTCCACGCAGGCCAAACACACTACTTTGTCGTTTCGCCGGTACGCGCGCCTGCAAACCCCAAACCCTAAACCCTAAACCCTAAACCCTAAACCCTAAACCCTAGGCCTGGGGCCTGCGCTGTGAATGCTGGTTGCTCTAAGGTGTAGAAGCTGGGGTTTGTCCTGAGGCTCCATTCTACACCTTAAACCCTAAACCCTAAACCCTAAACCCTAAACCCTAAAAGGGAGAAAATGAGTCAAGCATTTATCGCTTCGCTTGTGCATAATCACTTAAAATGGATAAAGCAAATTATTAAATTAATTGATATAAAGATGAATTATCTAATTAAATAAATTATTCAATTAATTAGACATTTAATTAAATGAACTTTTTATTTAAATCATTCAAAGTGCGTGCCCTCATACACACACAAGCACTTCTAAGCTCAAAATGAAACAAGTAAAATAAACAAATGAATAAAACAAAAAACAAATGAATAAATACCGAACAATGAATAATAAATGATAAATACTGAATAGTAAATGATAAACAGTGAATAGTAAATGCTAAACAGTGAAGAATAAGCAGCAAAAAGCGAAAAAAGCAGCAAAAAGGCATTTCACGCGCAGCAGCAGCAGCAGCAGCAGCAGTATCTCGCGAAGCAGAGAAGATGCGGCAGCGGGAAGAAGGCGAAACGCAAGCTGGGGAGGAGCAGCGCATGCAGGAAGCAGCAGAGTTGACCTGAATTGCAAAATAAGTCTTTTTAAAACAAGTTCGCCGATGTCTGGCAACTTGCTGTTCACGATGCACAGCAAAGACGCATACACCCCAGTGAAGCCCGGGCTCGCCAGCTGCGAGCGAATCAGCGCGCGGCAAAACAGGCCCCGCCCCCGCACCAGGTTCTCCCGAAACAGCTCCTGCAGCAGCAGCAGCAGCAGCAGCGCAGCAGCAGCAGCAGCAGCAGCGCAGCAGCAGCACAGCGGCGGCGACGGGACGTTTGAGGCACAGAAGGGGACTAAAGCGAACAGGAGAACGCAG